GAACCCATAAAGGACATTGCTTGCTGGTTTGTTTCCCAGGTTCATGCCTAGCTGGCTTTTTCGTAACATGAGACTACCTGCCCAAGGAATAATGCTACCTACAGAGGCCATCCTATATCCATTCAGAAACCAGACAATACTGCATAGACACACCTAGAGATTATCTAACTCAGTGTAAGTAGTGTAGGTCTGTTACATTTTCACCCATCCCAGCTTCAGTTTACAAATTGATCTTCAATTTGGGAAAAGAATAAGCAAGCTCAGTGTGGTAGTTTAAAAAAAAAAAAAAAAAAACAGCCCTCAAAGAGAGTAGCACTATTAGGAAGTATGGTCTTGTTGGAAAATGTGTGTCACTGTTGGGGCAGGCTTTGAGGTCTCTTTTTCTCAAGCTTCATTTTGTTTAGCCTCAAGAGGCCCGGTGTAATTTCCTGAGCCTAACTTGAGTTGGTGTGAGGCATAGTGTAACTTCCTGAGCCTAGCTAGAGTTCGGAGACCTGTCTCTGACTACTCGACCTAGACCTGCCTCAGCCCAGCCACCTCTAGCGTGGCAGAATATTATTGGCCCTTGTGCCTCGTCTTGGCCAATCTCAGGCTTCTCTACTCCATCTTAACCCTATAAGTCTCTGCTTGATACCATTAAATGAAATCCTGCTTCGACAGACTCCTTACTCAGTGTGTTTTTCCCTGGTGCCCAGGGGGAGGGCTGAGTCATGACACTCACCAACCCTTTCAGCCCCAGTGAGAGTCCAGCGGGCCCAGCTCTGCCCCACTCTTTCTGCCAGAGAACCCAGCATCCCTCCTAATGTTTATCTTTACTCCCCCACCCTCCTACACTTTATAAGACCTACAGAAATCTTTAATAAGCTTCCTACCCTTGGCAATTTTCCCTGCCCTGAAGATTTCCACAAAACAATTGTGGAAATTGTGTTCCAAAAGAATAGTTTATTAAGTCCCCTTCTTGCAGGTCCTGAGCTGTATCCTCAACTTATGGCTGATCCAGGTCCTCAAAGGATATGTGCACAGGGATGCAACATAAAAGTTTCCCTCTGTCTAACAGAGTAGATAAACTCAAGAATCGGGTGATGTCCCTCCAACAAGGCACAAGGAAGGTAGCACGATACATTGCCCAAAAGTCTGCTATGACAAATGTATAAAGACTATGTAATTTGCAGTCTGTTAGTTCAAAATAATCCACTTGACCCTTAACACCAGGCAATGTAAGTGAGGGTATATATCAGCATAAACAACAAAAAGACCAACATGTTAAGTGTGTCTGAAAACTCCATCATTTATTATAATCATCTCAAAACTATAGCATACTTTGCAATCTCTTGCCCAGCAGGTCTTTTGTACTTGATATCTGTTCCTAGTACCAAAAGATGGCAAAATATAGCATACAAATGTTATCATAGTCATGGTGAAGGCAACCAGACCGGCAAGAAAATGCATGACCTTTGTGGCTGCCAAGCTCTGTACTGAGCACTTTACACCTCTCAGAGTCCTCTGACAGAGGTAGACACACACGGCAAGAAACTTTGCTAACGAAGGAGACTGAGCAGAGTACAGATGAAGACGGACGCCACTAGCAAAGAGCAATGCAGGAATTTCAACTTTAAGTATTTCCCAGAATACAAGGGCCATGGAAAAACATGCACTTTGTGTAACAATATGTAATATGTGTGTCTTCATCTTTGAATGGCTACAGAGGAGATCTAGAACACCAGCCCCCTCCCAAATGGGGCTGAAGAGATGGCTCAGAAGGGTAACAGCAACTGTTGCTCTTGCAGAGCACCAGAGTTCAATAGCTAGCACCCACATGATGGCTTAAAACCATCTCCAGTTCCAGATGGTCCAGCGCCCTCTTCTGGCACTGCACACACATGGGCCACAGACAAACAAGCAGGCAAACCACACATAGGCATAATATAAAAATACATACATTTTAAAAGTTCTTCTGTGTATGTGTTGCTTTTATTGATTAATGAATAAAACTGCTTTGTCCTACGGCAGGGCAGAATAGAGTAAGCTGCAAATTCCAAGCAGACAGAGGAGGAAAGAAGGAGGAGTCAGGAAGACGCCATGTAGCCACAGGAGGAAATAGACACCTGAGAACCTTACCAGTAAACCACGAGCCTCGTGGTAAAATAAAAATAATAGAAATGGATTAATTCAAGATGTAAGAGCTAGCTAGGAATACTCTAGAGTCATTGTCCAGGCAGTGTTGCAACTAATATAGTTTCTGTGTGATTATTTCAGGTCTGGGCAGCCAGGAATGGACAAGCAGTCTCTGCCTACAAAATACCAGCCATACACTGATATAAGTATGGTCTTTTAGCTCTGTGTTGGATATGAGCTTTTGTCAGTTGCTCTGAATGTTATTTGAGAAATTATAATCCACACAGCTGTCACTTCCAAATGTACTGCTACACAAGACAGGTGTGTTATTGAGCTTGGCATGCAAAATTTATAACTGACAACCTCATAGGAAGATGTTTAATATTTACTCAGAGGATGACAAAATATTTCTATTGTTTCCTTTTTGATTTTTGTATTTGGGAAATTATCACAAATGTGAGGTATCTTATACACTGATTAGTGGACCAGTGCATTAAATGTTGCTCTATTTCTTTCTGTTTTTCCAGAACCATTGTGTCCTCGAACAATTCCTCTTTCCTTTCATACAGGTTTTGCTGTTTTCTTCTCTTTACTTCCCAGCAATGATTCCTTTCCTTCCCATTGTCTTTCATCTTGTGTCAAAGGTGCCTTGCCCACATGACCCCACAATGAACCCTATTTCCCTCCTGCTCATCTTTGAATGTCTTCTTCCCCTAGTGCCGTGTGTGCCACTCGGAAGCCGTGTGAGCTTGGCATTTTTTCACAATTCTTATCCATTTATCTGGATTACTGGGACACATCTGAGCTTATCTTGAATGCAGTCTTCCATCGCTAACATAAGGTGAATCACTTTGGTGACACACACCTCTGTAGAGAGTCGTCACTCTGTTTTAGAAACATCTTTACAGTAAGATGGGACTCTTATGTGCAATGCAGAACGCATGATCGACTGTTCTTCCAACACACTTAGGATTTGTTTCTTGCTAGTTGTGACCTCTGCAATACACTTCAGAGAGTAATAAACTACTCTTGCCCTGGGGTCAGCGTTCACTGCAACGTTTGTAGACGGAAGACAGTTTTACAGTTATGCAGCCAGTGACTTCACTTGCTTGTTCTTCTCTGTCTTAGCTGGTTCCTTTACTAACTAAATCCTCAGGCTATACTGGATTCCTCAAATTTGCCCATCTTGTCTTCTTGCTATCTATGCCCTCTGATGACTATATTGAGAAAAGATCTAGGTATATTTTTTCATCCTACAAAGGATAAACTGTTAGAAATAAATTTATCATTGATATTATCCTAATGTTCTGTTATAGATTCTAAGTAACTGTGTCTTTTATAGGCAGCATAATTACAAGTGAATCACAAACACAGACTTTATGACTCTAATTAAACTGGAGGCCACGATCCATTAAAAACAGATTAAGCACACGAAATCAGTTGTAAGGGAAAATAAACATGACACAGGCTTAGAACTTTCAAAATAAGTGATTAGCAATGTCAATTTATGTTTACAGGTGCCTGGAGCATTTTCTTTCATCAGAAATTTCTTAAATTTCATCAGAAAGTTCATTCCTCTCCTTTTTTATTTTATTCTGCTCTGTGAACATTTTGAAAGGTTTTTAAGTACGAAAGACTGGAAGAGAGTTTGTATTTGGGTCTTAGGGATATAGACTAGTTTAAGGACAATGGAAGCTCAAACATATTTCAGTGAAAGGACTGTATTTTTTTAAGAATCAAACCAAGTTACTAAATTAAATCTGAAATCAATTAAGACACCAATATCATGGTAAAACTGCTCAGGTGAACACAGTTTAGGAAAATGTCACATAAGATGATGAAGCTCCTTTTTTACTGCTGGGGGAATCAGGGCTAGAATTTCCTGGAAACTTCTGAACACTAAACTTGCTTCTCACATACGGAAAGAAGAGAGGAGTGGATGGGGTTGAACTGAGCACCAGTGGCTCCAGCAAACACTTAGAGAGCACAGGGGAGACTTGAGCAAAGCAAGTCTGTCTTTAAGCAAGAATGCCTTAAGACAGTGTTAGATGATACAGAGCAAAATCGACCACAAAGGCTGAAGTACTGCACTGGTGATGCAAGCTAGCATCAGTGTTCAAATACTTTAAGAACATGTTGACATCTTCAGGGAAAGGCAATGTTGCTGATAGATGCAGGTGCAACCGATACAGAGAGAAAATTCCCATCAGGAGGTCTATAGAACTCACACAAGCAGTATCTATGCAACAACCCCCCACAGAGAAACAGGAAAAGATGTAAGAGCTAACTCACAGAGAGTTAGTAGGTAGTTGAAAGTATTTTTAGAATAGTTAAGTTTCTAAGAGTTATCAACCTTATGTAGGTCCAAGACCAGAAACATACCATAGTGAATTATTTATAATCCACCTAACAATAAAGACCTGTTTGAAATATCTACTTTTTTATGTCTTGTTCATGCAGTTGCAAAGTCACTAGTGGTCCTAGAAAAACCTTTCTAACCGAATCCTTCTTAAGCACGGAGCTATGCCAATGTTGGTGCGCCATAAAGGAAACAGAGGCAAGGTAGCATTCCCACAAACAAGACATTAGGAAAATGTCACATAAGATGAGGAAGCTCCTTTTTTACTGCTGGGGGAATCAGGGCTAAGTTCTTGTTTGCATCCAGAGAGGCTGACAGTTAATCACACTGACGCAGACCTAAGTGTGAATTCAAATAGTGTCCAATCCAACCCCATTCACAGGAAATCTTGGAAAGATACAAACTGTCAAGGGATCCTGTAATGGCCCTTGATGTGGGAGTTACAGAAGGCCTGTGTGGGCTCTTGGGCTGTGAGTTTTACTCTGTTTGCACCGCTCACTGTGGGTGGTTTACGCCGATGTCTTACCGCCTCCACTTCCGCGGGGTCGTACCAAACGTTGATGTACGGGTGCTGTAAGGCATCGTCCACCGATATCCTCTTAGCCGGGTCGATCACTAGCATCTTTGATAACAAATCCCTGGCTTGGCTGGCTGGAATGACAAATGAGAACGGCAATTCCTAAGATTTTCATTTTGGCAACGGCGGATTATTGTTTGTGGGATAAAACAGCAAAGCAGCATCCTTTTAGTCAAGAGAACTCCCTGTGGCTAAAAGAAGTGCAGCTTCTAATTTTCTTTGTCTCAAAGCTTAAAGCATCATTTTGAGAGCTCTGTGAGGGTTATATGTTGTGAATATTTGAGTTTAATTGTTCACTCGGAATTATAAATAGAATTTATCAGCTATGAAGTTTGAATAAGTGAAGAAACTTTGGTGGGTATTCTGTAAGGACGCTAGGGGGTGAGATAAAGGGCATGGGAAATGCAAAGTGCATGTTGCATCTGCAGAAACGCACAGCTCAGATACAGGGGTGGGGGTAGGACGTCAATCCGTGTGCTTCCACGTTCTCGTACACAAAGTGGGATCAGCAGAATTCATAGCGTTCACACTGAACTTGCGAACCAGCATCGTTCAGATTTCTTAGATCAGGTAAAAACAATCTGCAGAGTGAAGGCGGTAAACATCACCTCGTTTAACCACGAAATTTTGTTGTAGAGTCCTGTGTTCATCAGACATTTAAATAGGTGCAATCAGGTGGCTAGTGTCTAAAGGAAGTCCCACGCCACGGCTGATGGTCATGAACATCTCCATATGATATACAAGGCAGCAAGGTGAATTGTGTGGCTGGGCAGGGTGTCATACATGTGACCGTTTCCCTGTGTGTGCAGTCTCACCAGCACATATGTGATGGTGCACATACGTGAAAGTCAGAGCACAGCCTTGGGTACTGTTCTTCAAGCGCTATTGAACCTCTTTTGTTTCTCTTGAGAAAGCATGGAACTTTGACAGACTGCCTCCATCTCCTCGACACTGGGATGACCAAGGCATACACAACTCGGTTTTTATGACATGGGTTCTGGGAATCCAGCTCAGGTCCATACGCTTGGACACGAGCATTTTCACCTACTGAGCTGAAGGCCCAGCCCTGAGGCCAATTTAATTTTTAGTCTCTAAAGCATGTGAAATTTTACACCAAGTACTTTCTTAACAAGAATAAGTAATATCTTAATATTATCTTAAGCCAATATTATTACTCAAATATTCTCAAAATTTTAACAGTAAAATTACTCATTATGTTCCAAACACATAGTAAAACTTTCAATTCAAGAGAGAAAAACCTCAGCTGACTTATGAATTTGTAATATTTCTTTTCTAATCAATGAGGGTGTCTAATAGTAAATGACATAAATATTGGAACTAAGTATGCTGATGTACAGGATCGTGTAGGAATTGGGCGACTTTTGCATATCCACAGATGTAGAGCTTTGGTACTTTTATTCTCTCTTTGAAGACATCAGATGCATTCTGTAACAGATTCAAGAGTTCATTTGTAGTGTAATAAAATGTTTACATGTAAAAATGTTTACAACATCAATTGTTTGTTATTAAGGGTTCAGATTAAGGCAACTGGGTTAAAGGTAAGAATTTAGTGGTAGCATATTTAAATAAACAACATCAAAAGTTAGGAAATAGCCATTCTCATAGGCTACCACTGTGATTTCTCCCATTGTCTACTTTGGATGCAATTCAACTGTCTGACATTCTTTTTTACTTAACTTTGCTAACACAACAGCTAAGATGTAGGGAACTATTCTCACCTATATATCTGTGACTATTTCCTTTGGTTTTTATATTAATATGAAAGTTTAATCATTAAAGGATATTTCATGTCTATTGGCAATTTTTTTTCTGATGAATACTGTTTTCTTAATTGATTAACATTCTTTTCAAAGAAAACTTTGAAGTTCACAAGAATCCCAGAAGTGCACAAAGACTTACATACTAATTCAAATTTTAAGATTATTTTATGACCAATGTTCTAACAGACTTTGTTAAAAGGTCTTTTTGATCTGAAGCTGATTTTATCCTCAGATTCATGTGTCCTGCAGACACCAGAGTCTGCTCTAAAGACCATCTGTATTTCTGATCTTAGAAAGGGCACGGGATGGAATGGTTCCTTGTTGGGAAGGGAGTGACCTCTGCCAGCACCAGAGTATCTACCAGAAGCCATTGCCAGCACCATATGTGGTAAACAAAGAGAATGTTTTCAATGCCATGGCCTTCAACTTGCAAACATGCTGCTTTCCCAGAGTCACCACAAATTTTCCCTTGATCATTTGCATATTGTGATACTTCATTAGTGTTGCCCAGTCTTGTATTAGAATCATAACTATATTAAATAGCTAATAATTTACAAAACAATATATGAAGTTGGATTTACATCACGAAGCATGCTATTGTTAAGAGTTTGCTGTCATGGGTTCCTTTTTCCCTGTTGGCCTGTCAACTATCAGATTGAGAGGGCAGGGGGCAGTAGCAGTGACAAGAAAGCTTTGTATGCAGCCCATGAACACAAAAGGAGACAGTCCTCTGGGAGACAGACTTCAGTGAATCAGCTCAACTTTATTCCAGTTGAGGGAGTCTGGGGACAAGCTCTAATTGGCATTAAGAGACATGCTCCATCACAAGGTTTTGTATGTGACAGTAGGGTCCTATCAAAATGGCTAAGTGCCATGTGGGTCTTCAGGGGAAGTGTGTTTGCAGGGAAGCGTGTCAAGAGCCACCCTTGAGATAACTCAGGCATCCTGGGCCTGGAGACATCCTCCAGGTAAGGCTGGGTAGAGAGCAGGAAGCTCTGCTGGGGAGGGAGGCAGTTTTCCTGATGCTGAGCTTAAAGAAAGTCACCAGGCTAGGGTAGACTGTGACTTCCACCAGCCAGCAGTGTCCTCCACCAGCTTGCCTGCAAGCATTTGTACTATGGGTAAATAGCTTCAATAGCTCAGTGCAAGTCTTGCTGTCTCCACAGGATTAAATCATCGGTGTCTTCAAGGGGTTGTTTCTGTCTGCTCTGGTGGTTTGTATAAGGATGTTCTCTATAGGCCTGCATATCTGATGCTGAACCCTCAGAAATGGCACTACTTGAGAAGGATTAGGAGGTGTGGCTTTGTTGGAGGAAGTAGGGGTAGGCTTTATATGTTTCAAAAGGTCAAACCAGGTCCTATATAGCCTTTCCTCTTCCTGACGCCTATGGATCAGGATGTAGAACTCTCACCTACTCCTCCAGCACCGTGTCCATTGGCATGCTGCCATACTTTCTGCCATGAGGATAATGGACTGAACCTCTAGAACTATTAATCAGCCCCAATTAAATGTTTTCTTTTATAGGCGTTGTCATGGTCACGATGTCTCAGCACATCTATTGTATATAGTCTACGTCTACGGCCATACCACCCTGAAGGCGCCCGATCTCGTCTGCTCTCGGAAGCTAAGCAGGGTCGGGCCTGGTGAGTACTTGGGTGGGAGAACAGTGACTGAAATACCTACTATCCTGATTAGCATTCTGAAGGCATTCATGCTGAGATATCCTTTAGGCAGTTCGTTCTCTGTATGGGTAGTGTTGGCAGCTTTGGAAATGTCACGCAGAGACTATGTTGCACGACGAAGTAGACTATCTCAAATCCCTCGCGAATAAATCTGGAAGTGATAACGCGATCCCGAACAACAAAGCACTGCATTTTAATCCCTCTGTTCCACCGACGTTTATCTCGGTTATTTAAATTAAACCTATACATCAAACCCATAGATTATTGCCTGCTCTGCACGGTTGGGGTACACCCCCGCGAGCATGCATCTACCTTGTGTTTTGATAGTAAAATTTTTAATGCAAGATTGTGTTATGTGTGGCAGTTATTAACTAGAGTCTGTTGAAAACGCTTAACAAAATATTAAGTCAATTAAACCTCTCCTAAATTCTTTACCATCATTAAAAAAAAATATCAGTAGTTAGCTGGTATTCCAGCAGCAAGTGAAGGCACAGAGGCAGAGTCTGACTCCAGACAGACAGAAGGGACCAGACTTGAAAAGAAAGAAATGTGGAGGTAAAATCTAATCTATTACTCTGTAATTGAGAAATGGTGGTAAAACACTCCATAAAATAAAAAGGTATTTATGTCTACAAGAATTTACAGATAAAAATCTGTGTTAAAATTTTTAAAAAAAGATTGAAGATATGTTTTCAAAGTAAAATACACTGACCTTGTAAATGTACATTTCAAAAAAATGGTTTCAAGATTCTAAATAACCCAGATAAAAGAGTTAACCAAGACAGATTATTGTCGAAATCACCTCCTCTTGCACCAATGCCTGTCAAGGGAAGACCTAACAGGTGCCTTTTTGTGGCTGGCAAGCTGGGCCTGATGCTCACCTTTAAGTTTATTGTGCTCGGAATCGGCTGGGAAGAGGGAATCAGGAAAGAGCTTTGGGAAGGTGAGGCCTGCATACTTGGGCCGATTCTCCACGTAGTTTCTGACTGTGGGCTGCAATTTCTTCATGAATTCTGGACACGGAGTTCCTAGTTGCTCAATGACTTTGTTCCACTGGTCAATATCTGGGGAGGAAATGGTTAAGGGAAAAGAAGTGCAGACCCGGGCAGTCACCTGTCACTGGAGCTGAGCCCTTCAGCATGGCTGGAATTTCACTAAGCAACACAGGACAAAGGGTGATATCAAAGCTGACAGCCTGCCCATGAACACTCTTGGAATTATAAGTCAATTTTTGGAAATTGTGTGCTTTTAGAGAACTACTATTATTTAACAGAAGCAGAAATGGGAAGTTGTCTCTGCTTTATAAAAATAAAAATATTATTCAAATATAACATGGCAAAGTAGCACTTATATAATCGTGATTATGGTTAAAATATACAAGGACAAATCGCAAGATATTCTCTCTTGTTTGTAAGAATTCAAAGATTCAAATAATACAAGAAAAACACCTTAATAAAATAAAATTTTAATAATCATGTGATTTAGAATTAAAATGATCTCATTTCATTATAGGATTTTATCCTAAGGTTACCTCAGTCATTTTTATTTTTAGAATAGTAGGCATACAAATACTGTAAATAATATTTATTTATGTTTTCTCTAAATTGCCTTTAAGATATTTTTGTTCCTTTTCTAAAAATGAGGAAATCTCATTGACAATGTTTTCTGCGTATAATCATCACATTTGGGGTCATTGTGCTAACACTGTTCGGCTGTGAATATCTGTGGAGTACATTGCAAAGTTTCGATGTGCATATACATTTGTGAACTGCTCAAGTGTCTGTCATTTCAGATTTGTATTATGCATTCATGACATTTATTTCTTTTTCTGGAAGGCTGTGGGAAGCTTGCAGGACTTTTTATGTCACCTGCAGCCAGCCTGTCTACCGTTGTCCCTCTGTCTGTCATAGTCACTCTCTACAGTCCCTCTGTCTGTCATGGTCCCTCTGTCTGTCACGGTCGCTCTGTCTGTCACGGTCCCTCTGTCTGTCACGGTCCCTCTGTCTACCTGTAATTAGCACTGAGTGATCAATGCACAGCCCTTCCCTACACCCCTCCTAACCTCTTGTAACTGAGTGGTTCAGATTTTCTTCTCATTTCTCGCTAGTGTCTGATGTGTCAGACCTTCAAGAATGATAGACAGGGCGGGCTCTAAAGGATGCGCTAAAAGCAGCTGATTTCAAACAGGATTGAGTCTTGCAGATTTGCACTAATTCCATCTGCAGCTACCTTTATTCTTGTACAACCCCATCCTTTCGCTGTCATTTTCTTCCTACTACAGTAACACGAGGCCCTTCAAAGACCTTTAACATAATGCTAACTAATTAAGGTTTGTAAGGTCCTTCCTTTTTGCTATTCAAGAGTTGAACCAAAAAGTCTGGCCTGGTAAAAGAAGAAACCGTATTTAACCTAAATATAAACTGCAAATGGTAGGCAGGCATTCAAACAAAGATAAAAGCAACTTAACTGCAAATTTCTACCTCCCTTACAACCTGGATGAATAACAGTTATTATAATAAAAACTACAAATTGCCGTGGACTGTCTGGAAATGGAATGCAGCTGGAAGAGTGGAGGTGTGTTCCCTAGCATGGAAATAGCAAGAATGAGCCAAGTACAAACGTCAGTGAAGCTTCAATGGCCATTGTGGGTGTCACAGAGTACAGATGGGAATCAGAATTATTGGAAATAAAGAAATTCACTATGCAGGATTGCTTAGTCACTCTCCTGCAAAACCTCATGCTATAGTCTATGGCTATAGATAACATATAAGTAGACAGGAAAGATGATAGGGAGTTAGGGAGATAGATACATGACAGACAGACAGACAGATGGGTGGATGACAGATCTCAGTACTTAGAACAGTGTTCATGGAGTTTAAAGCTCAGTTATCACTGTAAACATGAAGAGAGACTTCCTCTACTGTGACTGGGTTTCCATGCCATGCCAGGCTGTCAGTGACTCAGGACTCAACCTTGCTCTGAATTCTAAAGAGTGAGGATTAACACCATGTTTAAAGGAGGCCAAGTTTCTAGATTTCCTACAAAGAAGTCATCTTAACAAGTTTGGTAAAATATCATCAACCCATTATTTTATTCTAATTTCGTTCAACTAGAGTCATGAAAGTATTCAATAAAAACCTCCAACACAGAACTGTGACTTTTAATTTATTTGTTGTTTCTTTGCAGGAATTTTTTGTAGCTCAGCTTAGCGTCAGACTTGTAGAGTGGCTCTGAAGCCCGACACCCTTCCTGTCTCTTCCTGGTAAGTGCTGGGATTCTAAGTGGCCGTACCCTGCCCATAACTCAGTGCATCCAAAGAAGCAGCCCTCAGACAATTCTATGGGATTTTTGATAAAAAAAATTTAAGACAAGTCACATATCCTGGAATTCAGAAAATGATTTGCGTCTCTAACAGCACTGGGCAAGCTTTCCTACCCGAGAGCGTTTTTAAATGAAGCATCATTCAGGACCTAGAGAAACCAGAACAATCAAGACTGTGTCAGCGAGGTTGATAAACAGTCTTGCAACAAATTCTGGGCGCAACCCTCTTTAAGACAGAGTGCCTTCGCTCAACACACTCCTTTCAAGCCCTTTCCTTCTACAAATGTCTGGGTGTCTGGACAAGGAGGATCTGTTTTCCTCGCGTTCAAGTCAGTGTTTGTGAAGAAAACAGGCGTCTGGAGCTAATGTGATAGGAGGAGCTGACTCACGTTGGTCTGAAGTTCGTGATGTGATTTACCAGGGGCCGTGTCGCTCCGAGAGCATCTTCAGTGAGCTTGTCTCAGTCTTTACCAGGGACGTGTCCTCTGCTACCTCGATTTGTACTTTTAAATATAAAAGAACGTACTGGTATAAAATGCTGGCATCATATGATGTATCCTTTATAAATTAATTGTTAATATCATTTGATGAAGGCACAGTGTTGAGGCATTTGTATGCTATGCAGAAGAAGGAGGTGAATACTCTAGTCTCATCCTGCACAGCAAACGAAGAGTAGTAAAAGCATGTGCTTCCATATCAGATCTGTCATTTCAGAAAATGCCACCCTGAGATAAATTATCTAAGGCCTTGACTACTAACGGGAAAATGACACTTAATAAAAATTATGACAGCAAATTTCCTCATCTAATTCTAAATTCACTGCAGATTAAATAGAGTGGTATTGCAAACCCTTTGCTCTTGGGAGTAAATGAGATCCTTTGCAAAGGTGACTGGTCGCTACTAAGGAGTTTCCTGAGTGGTACCATCCCAGGGAAATGGAGCAGAGTACACTTAAGGGATGAGGGATGAGCCGCTGGAGCCACAAGGCTGCCAGCTTTTCCGGCAGACTGAGAACTCAGACTCTAAGTGCTACTTAGTGTCCCAGATTGGAGAACTTTCTGAGGAACATCCCCTGATGAATGGACTGATGTGAAATGCCTTCTGCTTTCTGGTTATTTGGGTTATAATTGTGAATGAAATGTATGCTCTGCCATTTCTGCCTTCAGAAGACGCTTAAAGAGCTTTCTGGGAGCCGGGGAGTTGTGGCACATGCCTTTACTCCCAGTATTCAGGAGGCAGAAGCAGGAAAGTCTCTGTGAGTTCAAGGCCAGCCTGGTCTACAGAGCAAGTTCTGGACAGGGAAATTCTGTCTCAAAAAGCCAAAAAAAAAAAAAAAAAAGAGAGAGAGAGAGAGCTCTCTGGGATTTTTCTCTGCCATGCAGTTTGAATTACTCTTTTGTTTTCTCCTGTCTTTGATTATTCTGTTCCTACACATGGTGTTTCTAGAGTTGATATTGACATGCCTAATCATTTACTATCTTAGACCCGCTATTCAGTCGTCAGTGTGAAAATGCTAAAGCCTTCATTAGCAACTTCAAAACCACCAACATTTCTCTCCCAGTTCTTTGCTCATCTTCTAAAGGAAGCATTGCCATCTGTGATATCCATCCTGGAAAGTTCCAGAAGATGCCATTTCATCTCTAACTAGCCGCTGCATAGGCGTGGTGTCGGGTGTGGCTAGGTGGCATTGGTTCAGCTCTGGAGGACAAAATGTCGACTGATGCAGTCTCCAAGTGAAATGACGGGAGAGCCCGTGTGCTGTGAACTCAGTGTCATGCTATGAAACCATGTTCACACACTCAAATATTCACACTGTTGAAAACTTACAAAAACTCCCTGCAACACCAACACACACCACTTAACTTCGGGTTCAACTCATGGGTAAATGATTTGCATGGTGTGTCCAAGGCTTTGTACGGGGAGAACACAGTTTTTAGCTGTGTTACTTTGCATTTGGGAATATTTTTTCTGTCTCAAAAATAATTTTCTGATAACATAAAATATGAAGAAATGTTTAAGACACAGTTCATTAACAGCACGTTCCTTAGGAGCGAACACAGGAGGTCGTATGGTCAGCCAGGGTGGACAATCTTGAGCCTGACTCAGTGGCTCAGTGAGGATGGACCTATGGGGCCTGCTGTTGGACATGCGATGCTTGTGGTTTTCACTATCACTGTTTTTTCTTATAAATCTATTTTTTAAATTAACCCGTATTTTTAAAATCTGCAGTCTTTTTTTTTAAAGATTTTATTTATTTATTATGTATATAACATTCTGCCTCCATGTATGCCCGCATGCCAGAAGAGGGCGCCAGATCTCATTACATATGGCTATGAGCCATCATGTGGTTGCTGGGAATTGAACTCAGGACCTCTGGAAGAGCAGGCAATGCTCTTAACCACTGAGCCATCTCTCCAGCCCTTATAAATCTATTATTGTAACCGCTCTTTACAAATCAAAAGCAGACAAGAGTTACATTTTCTAAAGTGTATTAATATACATGGCAGAAGCAACATTTTTTAAGCTACTGGAGCTTCACCTCCTAGCCTCCTCATCTGGACAGGCTCTTTAGGAGACCGTTCTTAACCTCCGGTGGCAGCATTCATTCTCTGGAGTGAATGGCAGCGTCCTCCGGGTGCAGCGTTCTGGCTTCACAAACAAAGGTCTATCTTATCTGCATGTGGTTGCAGGTTTGGCATCCATATTTAGAGGTGAGGAAGCTCAAAGCCCCGTCCACATTTGT